GACTGAGGGGTTATTTAGGGGTTATTTTCAACCATTTGCCACCTGTCACAATCAAGTCTCAGTATAATGCACTGTCATAAAATCAGAACATTTGACCCAGAATTCAACGCGAGGCAGGCAGTGGGAAAGTTCAAAATGTTTATTAAAACAAAACAAGAGCACGGGGCTGCGGGGCAAATCTCTGCAGAGATATGAAATACAGGTCAGTGACCGGATTGTCGGGCTGATCATGAGTTGGGGCAAAAGTCATTGACCTGATTCAAAGTTCAGTCCGATCCGGTGGAAAGATTTGAATCCAAACTTCCCAGGTTACTTCCCAGCTTGCAACCCCAGAGTTCCTAGAGAGAGAGCAGAGCAGGCGCCAGCAAACATTTTTACAACGAATTACAAATCCAGACCTTAATCTTTGAAGGTTATAACATGTCAAAAGTTTGGAAAGTTCTGAAAAGTGTCAATTTCACATGCTGTTGTGTAAATGGAAGAGGTAATAGCTAGAAGTTATTAGGCAATTTGCAGGACACACTGAATAAGGGAGTGGTTCTACAGGTGGGGACCGCAGACCTCTTGTCATTACCTATGCTTTCTGGCTAATATTTTTGGTCACTTTTGAATGTTGTAGGTGCTTTCTCACTCGTGGTAGCATGCTACGGACTCTACAACCCCCACAAGTGGCTCAGATAGTGCAGCTTATCCAGGGTTAAACATCCATGTGAGCTGTGACAAGAATATTTGCCGTATCTGTCATTGTAGTGTCCAGAGTCTGTAGGCGCTACCAAGAGACAGGCCAGTACACCAGGAGATGTGGAGGAGGCCATAGAAAGGCAGAAACAGCAGGACTGCTACCTCCACCTTTGTGCAGAGGAACATGCCATAGCTCTGTAAAATGACCTTCAGTAGGCAGCAAATGTGTATGTGTCTACACAAATGGTTAGAAACAGGCCATCCATGTAAAAAAAAGAAAAAAAAAAAAAGAAAAAAAAGAAACAGGCCATCCAGGAATTGTTGGATGCTTAAGTCCAGGTCTGGAACCATGGACCATCCACCACCTCATCAGGAGCATGTCAAGGCATTGTAGGGGGGTCATACAGTCACATGAAGGCGACACACAATACTGAGCCCAATTTTGACCTGTTTTAAGTAAATTGCCTCAAAGTTTGAAGTAGTGTGGTTTTCCACTTTAATTTTGTGTGACTCAAAATCCAGACCCCCATTGGTTAAAAAATTTACTTGCAGTGAAGATTTTTGTGTGATTCTGTTGTCATCACAATTAAGTTTGCACTTAACAAAGTATTATATTTCCTTTATTCAGATTGAGGATCTGTTATTTGAGTCCTCCCTTTTTTTTGAGCAGCATATAAATATAAATGTATACATTTATGTGTGTGTGTGTATGTATTTATGTATATTTTTATATAAATGTGTAATTTTATTTATATGTATATATATATATATATATATATATATATATATATATATATATATATATATATATATATGGCTATATATACTTTATTTATTGTAGTCAAATGCCCTAATAGTGCCTCTTTTTCTGCCCTCATAACCCCTCCTCAGGAGCGTCTCCTAATGAGCCTGTTGCCAAGAAATGTTGCTATGGAGATGAAGGAGGACTTCCTGAAGCCACCGGAGAGAATTTTTCACAAGATCTACATCCAGCGCCATGACAATGTCAGGTACGGTGGTGTCATGACAACTCAGGAGGTGTGCACAGACGGTTTTTATTTTAGGTGTGACACTGTAGTTTATAAGAAAATTAGACTGCCTGAGCTCTCTGTTCAAAGGAAAATAATTACGCCTTCGGTATCTGAAGTTACTGAAAATTCTTCTTTTTTAGAACGTTTTTGGTTTACTTTCGTAGCGGAAAGACAGGACCAAAGCATTGAACTGAGCAGCCACAAGCAGTTACCGACTAACCTGACAATGATTAGCAGTGACTTATATACAGTAAGTGGATGTTTCCCCTAAGGGGGCTAAACAAGTTCAGAATGACAGAAAAGGGGTTTGAGAGTATTAGAATGATACTGGTCAATTACAGTAGTGCCCATTCAAAACTTTCCTTTATGGGCCCTTGGGCCCGTTTAATTCCTTTTTAAACATCAATCTTTGGTCTAAATTATTCTTTCTGTCATGATTTTGGGACATGAAGATCTGATGAGATGTGTCATCTCCTGGTCAGAACCTGTAATTCAGTAAAAGGGTGGAGTCAGAGTAAAAAAAATCTGCAAGAGGGGGTCACTCTAGTTTTTCCTGAAGTGAAAAATTATTAGTCATTACATTTTTAAGACAACAATTAAACTATAGTATTTTTTAAATGTGGTTAAAAATTATAATGTTGAGCATTGTTCTGTTATATTACTCACATTCACATTTATTCTCTTGCTTTCAACAATTCAGTATAGGTATTTTTTAAACACATTAAATTATATCACACTTTTTGAAAGCTTCCTCTACTTAAAACGTAATGTAGAGTGTGAGAACCTGACCCGACTCTGAGCTTATTACATTCTAGTGAGGCAGTAAAGAGAATAGGAGAGGTGTGTTAGTGCTGCTTAGTGTTTGAGTCGAGTGTAAGGTAGCATATCAACAGCACTTCTGTCAAGAGGGAGTCCTCCACTCTTTCTGTCTGCCTGTATCATTTTAGCTCTGAGTGTACATCTCTCCTGAGAACACAACATGGGGTCATTGCTGAGCGAGCAGCCTCACTAACCACACATGCACTCAGCCAAATATCCCGTTATTTCTCCCAGTGAGCCAGCTCCTGTTCACCTCCAGGGTTCAGTGGGAAGTTCAAGCATCAAAAAATACTTTTTTAAAAAGGAAAATATGTTTTCTGTAGCTGTGCAGAGTGTTTCAGTTGGCATCAGGCTCCTTTTGATGTGGCCTCCAGAACGTTTGATCACACATGTATTTAGTTATGCCAACCCCCTTGCTCTTGCCTTACCCTCCAGACATCAGCATGACCTGCGGCATAAAATCATTCAGTGAAAAATCATACAACAAAGCTCTTCGGCTGAGCGGCGGTCGTGATCCCAGCTCTGCATACATCAGAATCCTGAGCAACTGCTCCGAGTCGCAAAACAGCTTGGTAACATAGTCACGATACAGAGGAACATGAAAATGCAGCTGTACCTTGAATTCTTTGAGAAGGATTAGAAACAATATGTGATCATTTCTAATGATGGATCTGGAACTGTTGTAAATATAGTTATGATGTTTTTATTCAAGCTAGGTTCTAAAATTTTCCCTTTTTGCTTCAAAGATGAATAACTTATAACTAACTTTGAAGTATTTAATTTTGAACAATCTGTACACTTTAAATTGAAGATACAGAAAGTTCACCTAATCCTACTCTTAACCTGTGGACCCGAACAGTAAGATTTCACGGCAAAAATAATCAGATATACATCCATAAACTCTTACCACAAGACAATTTTTGGTTACCGATATTTTCCTTCTTTTTAAATTCAGGGTTTTTCTTGACACCAAATATCCAATTTATCAAAAGTGTATGCACTCTCCTGGGAGATCACATGAAACATTTTTCATCATCAAGATTGTCTTCATTAAATGTGACATAGATTTGGTACAATTGTCAGAGGAAACCACTAAACAAAGCACAGAAAATTGGATGTATAGGTGAAAACCCCCTAAACTAATGTTACGTATATCATGGTATCACGCCACATAGAAATGCAGACAACTTGATATAAAGGATGAGAAGAAAAGGGTAAGTTGTCTAAAAAACTTTAATCGGTGACTAAAGTTTTAAATTTAATAAGTTCAAGTTTGGGTCAAGAACAAACTATTAAAGGATAAAGAGTCTAAAAATAATTTTAAGTCTATCATTTCTTCTAAATGGAAGATTTCTTTTAGCCAAATTCTGACTTTAACTCTCTTTTATGCTGGAAGTGGAACATTTGTCAAATTGTTTTATCTAAACTTCTGAATTTTGATTTATAAGACTTCTGGCATCATGCAACACTTATATTAGGGGGAAAAAAAGAGAGCCTTTCTTTGGTCTAAACCGAACTGTTTGAATGGCGGAATTTCAGCCAGTGGACAGAAAACAAGAGGTTGGTTTTAAGCAGGTAGTTTTAGCATAAGTCCTACGACAGTTGAGAAGTTACAATCTGTGGACACATAATCATAATCTGCTGGACTGCAGGGTTCTTTATGTAATCAATACAAAGGAAAATTAAAACACATTCATGAAAACACACAATAATCTCAACTGTTTTCTAATTGCTGATACAAACAAAAACAAAGCAAAAAATATGAATTTTAATAATAATAAAAAAAGTGATTGATTCATCAGTTTAAATTGGTCAAACATTGTCATGGGAGGTAGATGTTTTTTAGCCCACATGCAAGACAACATCCAAAAGGGGTTAACATTTTTTTTTATTTTGGGGGTGAAGGATGGGTCTCAGGGAAGGAGTTCAATGGTCACTCACTCTTCAGAAGTTGTGAGATTTGGAAGAGGATGGTGATATGAGATATCTGAATTTCTCTCTGGCTTATACTATGAGGATGGAGGAGAAGGGGATGGGGAACTGGGTCCAGAGGTAAGTCTTATGCAGGAAGTAGTGCCAGTATGTGACTTAGCAGGTGGCATTGGAGGACGGACAGGTCGGCTGGAGGATTAGATGAAGGGAGGACTCCTGGTTTAACCAGTTGTGGGGTTGAATTTCTAGAGAATTATGGTACAACAATGTATAATCAGGAGCCACTGTAGGCTTTCAGTTGGCAGAATTACTTGACATAGCAACATGGAGAGGCATGAATCTGATTGGACAAAAACTTTAGCAACCTCAAAACTGTAATGGAAGCATGGCAGGCAAGAGAAACACTACAAAATTAGTAGAATGGATTGTTTGGAATATATTAATACTGTTGGAAAGAAGAAAATTACAACTTAGGTTGTGAATGTAAGTTAGTGTTTCTGATTGATAGGTTAGTGTTTCAGTGAAGGCCTTGAAGGCCCTGACAGCCGATCACTGCATGTCTTATAACTGAGGTTCTTATAATTATCTTTGCAGGCATGTTCCAAATAATTTTGCTCACATACGGCAAATCTGTTCCACCAGTAAACAAGAAGACAAAGTAAAAAACAAACAAACAACAAAACATAAACAAACAGTTCTCAGATGACTGCTGAGTCAAGCCAGCGTGCCAGCATGTCAACTTTTCGGGGATGTATACAATTACAGAAAATACTTTTCTGTATTTTCCTTCCTCAGAACTAGAGTCAATTATCATACAGTAATTAAATCAAATCCTCCTCCAGCTTTGATACACATTCCACTGAGAGCAGTGCGTTTCTACTGAGTCAATAAGATCCATAACACCTTGTTTTGCTGCCATCTGGGCTGCCTCTGAGCAAATGAATGAGGGGCTAAGTGGTTTTCAACACCTTCCCCGTGCACTACTTTAGTTAGCCAGCAGCAGGCAATTCAGCTCTGTAATTGATTTAGCGGCTGGCCTAAAAGACGCCTTCACTTATCAGGGATTGGATTATAGTACTTGCTGTTTGCTTCATTGCTGATCACTGTTAGCCAATTACTCTTGCTTCACAGTGATCTGTATGTTTATCTCCAAGGGGGATGGGGAACACACCACAGTGCACTAACTCCATCTGTTTGTTAGATTTTTTATGAAATAGCAGGTACATTAGGTGGATGGGAAAACAATTAGTTCTTCACTGCTCATTAAAATGCCTTGTTTTTTATTTTCTTCTTTTTTTTTTTTTTTTTTTTACCCCTCCAGCATCCTGTTTGCAGACATTGTGGGATTCACCAGCTTGGCTTCTCAGTGCACTGCTCAGGAACTGGTCAAGCTGCTCAATGAACTCTTTGGGAAGTTCGATGAATTGGCAACGGTAATTTTTCTTTATTATCCCATACATATAAATCGATTGACTTCAAATGACAGACAAAATCTGGAATAAGAGAAAAATAGCCCTATTAATGGTGCAACCAATTTTTTTGTCTACAAATATTCCCAGACATTAAATCCAAATCCAGTACTGTATAAAATGATTAAGTGTGGCATCATATGCTGTTTATTGATAAGTTTTTTTTTTTTTTTTTTTTTTTTTTTTTTTTTTTTTTTTACATATTTTTCATGTAACATTCACAAACATTGCTGTTCCATTGTTTTATATAAATATTATACCAGAATATATTAATGATCATAATGTAGAAGGGGGAAAAATAACCCAAAGCATTTGTCAGCTCTTTTCTAAATTTCCATTCAGCCAAGTGTATCTCAAAGAAAATTTCTCAGGTTAAAAAAGATTAAGCATGTATCAGACCATTATAGACATAAACATTAAACATGAAAAAACCTTGGAATTACAGAAATAAAGAACAAAACAACAATGAGAATAGGATTATAAAGAATTGCAGGATAAAGGAAAGCAAATTCAATCAATTTTAGTACCTGTTGTGGAAACTTTGGAAACAGCAAAGGAACAGGATATTTTAATGTATATCTGCAAGTATACCTACAAAGCTATTAAGCCAAGCAGTACATGGATTAATTTAAGTAATACAAATTAATTCACAGTCATAAACACTGAGCACCATAAACAATTAACATTCCAAAATATAAATATATAAATATAAATGGTAAATGGTCAGTTAGGAATTAGGAGACTTGACCAAAGAGGTTTACATTACATTTAGTCGTTAACCCATTCATTGACACACTAATACACTGATGGTGGTACTGTGAACAATGCACCAATAACTAATGTACAAAACAACTAACATAATTTGTCAAAATCATTAAGATAAACGTTTGTACAAGGGTAACAAAGAGGATCTAAGAAAAGCCTTTTTGGTCATTTTTTAAATATTTTACGTCTGTCTGTGGGGCAGTTCTACTATTGAGGGAATTAAAGCAAACGACAAGGGTGCAGCAAGTAATATCATGAAAGTGGTAGACAGTTTAAAAATAAAAATCTCTCACAAGCAGATCTAATATTTAGATTTAAGATCAATAGATAGACAGATAGATACAGATAGATAGAAACATAAACAGATTAGAGAAAGGCTGCTGAATACACTTTGAACTAAAGCTGTAATATTTGGTGTATGCTTAATAATGAGATGTAACTGACAATTTCTACAATTTTACTAGTAACTTATTTGTAAGTAGTAAGATCCACTAAACAGAATAACAACATTAATGTTTAAAATCCATTCTTACGCCATGATCTTATTTTTGATATAATGTGGTTACGTTTATAAATTTTTGTAAACCCTCTATCCTTTTGCTTTATTTATTCACATCTCTTGCATTGCATTGCATTTTTATTGCATGTTGTTTTTGTATTTTTGTCTTGCTGCTTCTGCTGCAAAATACGTTTAGTATGTGCAAATAATTTTTTTGCCATGTATTTATTCTCTGATGTATTTATTCTCTCATCTGGCAACTGACTATGGATGAAACCTAGACTTTTGGCTAACTGATATATCTTACTTTTATACTATGTTAAAATGATATCCTTTAACATTTAATCAAAATTTTATATAAGAAAAAGAAATTAAATGCAACTGTTTTAGCTATTTTTCCCACAACCATCCTCAAATTATGGAGAAGCACATGTTTAGTTGAGGATTCTGAGTTTGATCAAACAGCTAGTTCCAACTTTGAGCTATTTATGCAGAGTTTATGAACTGATGAGACAGTAAGAATATGATCTCTCCAAATCTCTCTTCTATTCCAATAATTCTGAAACATCTAGAAAGCTAATTTGTGTTTTTTTTTGTTGCGGGTTCAGTTTTTCTGCATTGTATTGGCGTGATTTAGCTAACAAATACACATTAAAAAGTTTCTTCTCTAACTTTTGTTAAGAAATGTTACTGAGCCACCCTGCTCAGCCCACAGCCATGGAGGCAGCTAGTGAGTTTGTGCTCCAGTGAGCTGTTTGTGTCCAAGAAAACTGAATGTATTATTAAGTCCTGGAACTCATTTATTATACCAAGCCATATATGTATTGATCCAAATTTTGAGAGTAAGACTAGAGAGACCTGACTGACACTGAGGAGGAGGAAGAGGAGGAGAAAAAGGTCATGAACTGGAGACGAGAGGGCTGATTCTTAAACAGATGAGCGATAAGGGCTGAGGAGGCGGATTGTATTGAATGTGCGCGTTGGAGAAATTTCTGCGTGTAGTAAAGAACAACTCTGACTACAGTTAATGTGCAGGACAGCCCACACTCTGCATCAGTAAGCCTTTCCAGTGTCGTTCTCCAGGAAAGAAGATTAAGTGAGAGATCAGTTATCTGCCGGCAGACCACTATAATCATATTAATACTGCATGAGCCCCACACAGACACATACATTCCTCTTTCGGTCACCTCAGAGGACATTTTATCGACTTACATAAATTAACATCTCACACCTTCTCCACTCTTACCACATTGTGCCGTGTTTTCTAAAGAGCCCTTATCGTGGTCGTAGCAGCAGACTGAGATTTTTCCCTGATGTGATAAAACTGGAGCTGCTGGTAGGAACCCAAGCTCAGTACGCCCCAGTTCTTAAACAGTCCCTGCTCTAAAAAAGATAAATAATTCGCAATGCACTACACCTGCATTGGCTACTAATGGTAGTAGGTGGTGCCTTCTATAGATTCTTACCACTCTGTGGACTATGTGAGGTTATTATGAATACTTTGTTGTCTAAATGTAGTTCTAAAAGGTGCACAGAAGAAGCAACAATCATGACTTTTGTACCAGAGGAGCGAAGAGATTCTGGACACATTACATGTCAATCAAAGCACTAATTTGGTGCAGATGCTTCAAATAAAACTTTTGATACCGACTACCAGTTTGCCAGTCACAATATTATTACAGTTCTAACAATTTATTAGTATGTTTTCTATAGCTGTTTCTTTTTTTGTCTAAAAATAAAGCCAGAAAAATAACGGGAACAAGGGGAACTTAAGAGAAACTTCAGTTCTTCGACATAAGTGTCATAAATCTAAATTAAATAGAATGTCGATTATAAAGCCCTCTTGTAACCCTCTTGTAGCTGACCTCTTAAATTTAAATGCAAGCAGTAGCTAGAAAGATACTTTGCATAAGAGACTTCATTTTGACAAGTAGGCTGATATATTCTCTAAGTTTACTATCAAGAGATGCTGTGGCAAAGGATGCTATTATACACTACGAGTATGGTCACTGAACACAATTAGCAAATCTCTTTGGCTTTCAGACTTTAAGATGCTGTTATCCCAAAATTACAATGGTGTTGCTTAAAATTGTGTTGCTTAAAATAAAAATGACTCTTTATCTACTTCTTATTCTTGCATTGTGCACTGATGATTACAGGTAAACATTTTGTTGACATTTACTGTGATCACAACTTGCTTACTTTGTTACCACTGCATAATTATGCTGTAATGTATTTAACCACCAAATCTACATAGCCTCATCAATTACATCCTGCAGCATTTAAAACAAAAACACATTCTTAAATTGGAACAATTGGGAACTACTTTAGGGAAATAACACAAGCTAAACTCTCTAAAATTAGAGTATTTCTTAATAGTACAAAACGTATGTCAGGTGGTTACCGGCTAAGTTAGAAGAAACAAAACTCTGTTATGAAATTTAACACTGACTGTGTCATTCTAAGTGTGCCCCATGCTTATTATCCTGTTGTCATGAGCAGTCAAGTTTGCAAGCTGTTAAACAGGGGGACTGCTATTTTATTACAACATTTTGAACAGTGGGATTATTTCTTTGCAGTGATGTTTACTTTTTAAAGAAGCACATTAAAAGTTATGTCCTTTGTGTTTCTACATTTATGTTATTTCCAGAGTTTAAAACCACTGTCTGAACTGGTATTTCTAGGCTTGCATATTTCCATGTAACCTCTTTGTAAACTTTTAAATACATTTTTATCTTATCTTTGCTTGTACCTTTTTGTTTAAATATGCCGACACTAGTGCTAAATAGCTACGATCGCTAAGTAGTTCAATTCACATCATGAGCAGAAATACACACTGAGAACTTTACCCTAGCCCTTCAGTGTGACACATTCATGACCTCTCCTGTCGCAAAGCCAGAAGATCTCATCAGACAGTTTACTTTTATTTTATAACACGCACGAACATGTAGATGTTCACAGTCACATGATCGGCAAGATAATCCCAGTTGAGTTAATTCTCTATTGCCGCAATCAGTCAGGGCTTAACAGAGGGAGATCGACTGAGGGGGCTGAAAGAGCAAGATACAAGGTGATATGTGATTCACTACCACCGCTCTAATGCTCTGCAAACCCATATTATGGACATCTTGTGATGAGGATATATTGCTTCCATGTGTGCAGCAGCTGCATCCTAATTGAGATTTATACCCTGTCGCGTTAGCTCAGGGAGAAACTTGCTTTGAAACCAGCTCTGTCACAGCTGCTGAGCCTGACTGTTGTACGCTACATGACACATTTAGTCTGTGAGGGTTTAAACTACACCTAACCATCATGGATACAAACCTAAGCAAAACCTTTAACCAGGTGGGTGACAGGTGAAGGCAGCCGCGCATCAACCCACCATCTAAATCGGCTGGATTAACGTCTCAATTTTGTGTTTCTAAAAGCAAACAATAATGCTGAAACATATTTTCTTTCAGATGATGATTCGTCTCTCGTTTCCTCTGACACAGATACACAAATGTACCCCCCCCCCCCCACACACACACACACACAACTCTATTCCTTGGGCAGGGATAATCATCCACATTCTAAATTCTCATATCCACCCACGCCAGAATCTTTCTGCTCCCGTGAGCAGAAAACCAGAGCACCCCATCTTCCCTCTTCTCATCTCTTCCTCTCACCCTGCAGTTGTCATGAATCCTCCCTATATCTGTGTGCATGTGGGTGTCTGCGTGCACGTACAATATGTGTGTTTGTCACTCACAGGCTGCCTGCAGGGGAAGCTTTGTGGGGTTTGCCATCATTATGTCTGATAACTGAGCGATACAGTTGCCAAAAGGAAACCCTGTGCACAAAACCAAATTCAAGTACAGTGTAGTACAAGGTGTTCACATGTAAAGATGCGGCTGTTTGTTTTTTTCTTGACTGATAATGCGGTGCTAAGGTGTGAGTTTATTTTTGTACATGTTCTGACTTCAACAGCTCTGCGCACAATGTGCACTGTGACAAATAGAAGGATCTGTTTGGAGAAGGTGTGGGTGGGATTCTACTTCAAGAGCATGTCGGAGCAATTAGAGTTGGCCCCAACAACAAACGCACAAATGGTTTCACGAGCAACATTTCTGATTTACATGATCAGGGGTGCAGCTGCAGCTCACAGACTGCGTCAGTCAGGTGGCAGGAGCTAATGTTCGCTAATGTTGAACAGTTGTCTGACAAATGTTGAAACGTCACAATTTATCTAAATTCATCTTTAGTAGGTTTCATGAGATTTAGCTGAACATTGCCATCTTTTCAAACAGAATTTTTTTTGAAGTATTTTAAATAACTTTTTGGGAATAAGTGGAAAACCAAAACCCAACAAAATAAAATTTTCCTGGTTAGATTTCTTATCTAAGGCTTTGGCTCCTATATGTTTGACCAGAGGATGACCTTGGTTAATTAGCTTCAAAGAGCTCTTACTTTGAGAACAGTAGCTTGTGTGGTTCCTTTTATGGTAGAAAACAAAGAAGAAATAATGAAAAGGAAGAAAATATTGTCACATACCTCTACTGGCTAGCAAAATCAAAATCAGTGTCACAGATTTGCAGATTTGATTTATAGATATTGGTCAAAATTACATTTTTATGGCCTGTAGGACCAGCCAATGCTTTTGTTAGCATGCATTTTGGAGATTCGATCAACACAGTAAAAGAATCCAACATTTTTTTAAACCTTATGGAGTTTAGCAGAATAGAATTCAAATAGAATTCAAATAATGAACATGCAATAACTGTTTTTACCAATGCAATAAGTGGGTGCGTCACTGGGCTCATCACTAGTGATCTACAAAGATTGCTGCACAAATATATTACTTAACCAACCTATAAGCATGACATGTAACTACAACTGATATTCACAGGTGTTCATAGACTTGCATATGATTTGTTCAACTTTACTTCACATTTACCTCATTGTAGCTGTAAATATATCCAATGGCTGCCATGTCAACTGAACTTAAAGGATTACCTAATACATGCTTGTAAATTTGTCTTAATTGGTCTCCCCATACAGGCTTTTTTAGATATTCACCTATAGTTTTCTTCATGTGCTTGCAGGAGAATCACTGCAGGCGCATAAAAATTTTGGGGGACTGTTACTATTGTGTGTCAGGACTAACGCAACCCAAGGCAGACCATGCTCACTGCTGTGTGGAGATGGGACTGGATATGATTGATACAATCGCGTAAGTAATGCACACAAGCAATTAAAACAAATACATCCGCCACAGGCCTGCATGGCAGGGCAGAAGGTGTAATTTTAAGTAAAAATATGAATTTTTATTTGAAGTTTTTGTACTTTTGCTGGCTTTTATTTTTATAAATACATTCTTTCAATTAAATCATTCCAAGTTCACTTGATTTGTCTTTCCTGTTGCCTTTCCTATAACCTGTAGATACAGTTATTGCTGTGGCTTGTTGCAAAAATTAGTTTGAATACAACATTACAGTTAAAACAGTCATATGAAGTGCTCAAGAATCAGTAAACTAGAGCTTTTATAGTCATACTGTATGTCACCATAATGAACATTATCCCAGACATGGGCTCAAATTATACACAGACATTTGTTTAAAATCCATCCTTGAAAACAGGAACATGTGAACACAAAATGTAGCATGCACAAAAATTGCAGCTTGTGCTAAAACAATGTATAGGTTCATGTGATATATTTGATTTTTTTTGCCGGAAATTTAGGGTCAGCCTACAGGGGCATGGTTGCCTTAAGAGCTTTTTGATATAAACTGTTCCTGAGTCTTTTTTGATGCAACAGTTCTAGATAGTTTTTTCTTAGGGTAAATAACCCTAAAGGTTTTTGGACCTAAGTGTTTTTTATTATTTCAAACAAGACCCAAACTACAGTTACACCATTAAAAAACACCTTAAAAAACCTCCAACATAAGATAAATAAATGGAAACAACCTGCCTTCCCTGTAAATCATATTGACACAAATAAACAGCACCTTTACCTCGTTTTCTCACATGAACATTTACCTGACACGTTTGATCCCTGCTGCTGTGTCTGAGTGGATGGATGCCACTGAAGGAATGTTTTATCTCAGAGGGCAGGCTTCTGCTGTGCATAATCATCCATTAGCGTGTGAGTGTGTGAGTAGAGGGGGTGCACAGACATTCCTCCTTCAACCTGGTTGGCACAATTTCTTTTTCATTTCTTCTTTATGCACAGGTTCAAACCCAGAATTTGTCAAGCTTTTGCTGCTCTCTAATTTGTTCTTCAGCCCCACATCCTGTTAAAGGGACAGGTCTCCAGCTGTCGATGAAGACCCTTATAAGGTGGTTTATTGAAGCTAATCTTTGCTATACTATGCAAGATGTATGTTGAGAATTAATAAAAATCATAAAAATTTGTATGGCGTAACACAAACTTTTGCCCCTAACCCTGAACCTAACCTCAACTCAATTCATAGCTCACTCCTTCACCACACCCCCAACCCTAGAGGGTAACTCTTACAATGTAGCATATTCCCAGGTAATTGGCCTTACCCTGTCCCCACAAGATAACAAACATGTAGACACCCACACACTTAGGTGGCCCTGATTTTGTCATCAAACAAGGAACCAAAGAAGGAAAAAAAATGTCAGAAAAAAAACCACTTTTCATATTTTCCGTTTGTATATACTTTCTTTTGGTGTAAACCCTCTGACACAAAACTGCTTTCACCTCCTAATGTATTCCTAGAACATATATCTTATGCAAATTCTTCATATTAAATGCAGGAGTTCTTAAATTTGATCATCAGTGAGAACTTTTTTTTTATTATTTAAGCAGGTTTATGCTTTCTGGGATGTATACTGATTTAAGAAGAGCATTTAAAGATTGCACCGTAAGGTTTAGCTAGAGAAAACTCCCTTTAGTTTTGCATGTTGGTGCAGCAAACTGGCATGTTTCAGCAGTTTTAACCTCTTAATATCCACCTAATTTCTGGAAAATTCTATTGGGAATGGCATATTGGGTATGCAATTCCTATCCTATCCTAACAGCAGTAATAAAGACATGCTTGCTTGTTGTGGCTGCTTTGTCATGCTACATTTCCACATGCTGCTACAATTATCCTTTGGTGCTCACTATGTCCATAAAATGAACTAGGTGGTTGAATTGTGGAGAATCTAAGCTTTCCAACAATGTCTAGGATGTCTATATTGGTAAACATTTTACCAGTGTAATTTTCATGCATTCTGAGTTATTTTTAAACGCTTTAAAACGGGTCGCCGAGGTCGCCAAAACGGGTTTTGAGAGGTTAACTTCTGTAACAGCATGGGAAGTTTTCTGCTTTGTGTCATCTGATTTACATGTAGAGAGAAGCAACACTGCTAAAACTTGTTAAAACAGTTACAAATTAATTAACTTTTCTGCTGCAGGGCTGTCAGACTTGACAGCTCATGGTGAGATTAGGAGAGTTTTGTTTCCAGTCAAAATGTGGCTCAGTCTTTGAGTACAACAGGCAGCTATTATTTTAAAAAACAGACTTTGCAAATGTATCAGAACTTTCTATGATGCCAAGTTGACATGACTGAAATATTTGTTGATGTTTGACCTCAAACACATTGCCGAAATTAGAGCAAATACATTAAAAAAATTCCATTTGACTTGAATAATGTACAATTATTATTTTTATTTTTTTATCTGCCTGTAGGTCGGTGGTTGAAGCAACAGAGGTGGATCTAAATATGCGCGTTGGACTGCATACCGGACGGGTTCTGTGTGGTGTGTTGGGCCTGAGGAAGTGGCAGTACGATGTCTGGTCAAACGATGTTACATTGGCAAATGTGATGGAGGCCGGTGGGCTGCCTGGGTTAGTAACAACTGTCAGAACTTCTGAGACTGAATCAAACTCTAACAGAGAAAAGAAGAAAAAAGCTGTGTGGAAAACACAATTATAATCATTATAATCATCCATGTATGCTGTGTTCTAAATATAGAGGACCAGGGTATAAGTTAATGATGAATAAGATTATCCAGCAATTGGTGCCTTTTAAACACTGCTAAGTGCAGCTGGATTTCCTAATTATGAAAACGAAAAGCTGTGTTCTCAGGATTAACTACGCCTTCTGTGTTTCAACTCCATTTGAAAGGAAAAGTACCAGCCAGGTGCTGATAATCAAACGCACTTGGATAAATGATCATGATCAGTGTAACCAGCTCTATAAATGCAAAATTACTAAGGAAAAACATCAGCAATGGCCACCAATCTGTAAGGCACTGTTAAGCCATTTACATTAATGAAGGAAATTATTTTTGAGACAGAAAAACTAATGATCATTTAATGTCACTCAAGACAGCTGCTAATTCCTCCCCAAAAATCTGATTGTTCTGTGCTTACGGACATGACAAATAATCCAGAGATTAATCCCAAGTGGAAGCTTAGGATTGCACTTTAAAAGATGAATTTAATGGTAGGGCAATTAAAGAAGATTGAACAAGTGTGGGTTATTTAAAAGAGTTAAAAGACAACCTGCTAACAAAATGTGGCAGCATGACACTGGTTTGCAAAGTGGCATCTAAATTAACCCAAGTATTCTGAAACAATGAGCCAGATTTAGAGATGTCAGGCAACAATCCACTGATCTATGCTGGGGAAAAAACAAAATTTAAAATCGTTTAATATATATTTTAAAATAAATTCATTAAAAGAACTTTTTTTTTTAAGTTGAAATAACAAAATCTTACAAAAACAGCCAAGTTACTCAACTTTTTTTGAAAGGTTTCTTGAAATCACATCTGGATACTTTAGCGAGGATACTTTCTTCCTACTGTAGCTTTGTCTTATTTCATAACATTTTTTCTCTCTTATTTGTTTTTCTTGACAAAAAAAAAAAAAAAAAATATATATATATATATATATATATATATATATATATATATATATATACATTTTGGGCTTTTGTCAAACGTTATTGTAGTAATTCCATATTATCAATCAAAACAGATTTGGAACAAAATTCACTCCGCATATTTATACCAAAGCGTTCTAACGTTTTTCCCCAAGTTCCTTATAGACTCTTTTTAATGCATGTTAACTTTGGGTTAGTAATTTCTGAATAAATGAGCATACATTATTCTTATTGTAGCTTTGTCTTATTTCATAACAACATTTATTTCTGTTTGTTATTTTCTAGACATTTTGTTTTTGTGGCTTTTGTCACAAGTTATGTAGGTAATTCAATATTATCAGTTTAAGTTAATCAGACTTCTGTTGTCTATAAATGCATACCTCTGCAGTAACAGTTTTTCACACTGTATGCACTCTTGTGTGTCATTCATAAGCACCAAGACAAGTGTCATTTAATTGCTGATTTATGCAGCAGCTGTTCTCAGTCTCCAATACTAGCATCATGATGCTCAAAGGAAAACTGAACACACATAGTGATGAATATGTTTGTTTAAATTAAAGTAATAACCATTTAATTTTTAGGGGTCAAACGTACTATCTTAAGAGCTAGAAAGAGGTTTTACAAGTCATATTACCATTAAAATAAAAAAAAAATATTTAAAACATGGAAAAAACCTCAAGAACAGCATGGGCGAGCGATATATCTATGCAGTGAGTGGTAGTATTTTTGTAGAAATGAAAGAGGTAATAGAGTTTTTTGAGAATGAACTACTGCAAAGTATTATGTTCAGTTTAGACAGTATAGCAGATCATACAAACCAAAGGTGTGCAGATCTTAAGTCAAAACAGAGGATACAGTTGATGAGCCATACAATAAGAATAAGGGAAGAAGCAGGTTTGGGAGAAGAAATGTTATTACCGTAAATGATATGCGGCTTGGTTTCATTATGAGAAAGAGATCCACAATATTTCAGGTCAGCTTTGAAAGTGTCCATTGACAGTGACAGTGATAAGGTGCTTCACGGAGTCTATGGATGAACTGAAATCACAAAATGCCTTGCAAATATTCATACTTCTTAAGAACTTCCACATGTATTAACATAAGCAAAAATGTTAAAGATTAAATTTGTATAAACACAATTTAAAACATAGTTGTACATTTTCTTTGCTAAATAGCTTTAATTACATCAGATTGAATAAGAAATTATTGTGAAAATACATTCTAAGGTCTTTCACAAATTTCCATTTAGATCTATTTCTAGACTTTGACTAGTTCATTTTCATATGAATGAGCTTTGATCCAGAATGTTCCATTCCAACTTTGGCATTTTGTTGAACTGATTCAGTTGGCTTTCTGTGAATAAAAATCTTTTCTTTTACAAAAATGCATAATAAACATATATATTGTATATCACAACTATCTTGTTATAGGAATAATAACTATATATTTAATTTTAATTGAACATGTTTAGAGGCACATCTTAAACATGTAAATATCTCAAATACTATAGTGATTAATGTCAAGGTTTTATTCTTTGCAGTTTTGGTTATTATGGTTTATAAATGAGTGAGGAACAGGGATTTCTGCTGCCTCAAGTTCACATCAAGTTTCGCTTTGCAAAGATGTATCCTACACATGGGCTACAAATGTAGCATTTATTGTGTTAGCTACTATTAAACCAAATCTCACCTTTGCAATGGAGGATAAGAGCTGGACTGATGATATGTGGTTCACATTCCCTTTTCTGAGGAAAATAAAATGTGTATTTAATTATAATTCAGTTAAAATCATTTCCATTTCAATAAAGTTTATATCCAATACTCTAATTCACAACACATGTCAGCTCAAGACACTTCCTGAGTAAATTTAATCAAATTATACAGACAGACTGGTTAAAAGATAAGCAATATTCCTAAACCTAACAGGTTGCATCACCTTATTGACTTGCAAATTTAATTTAAGGTTCAAGAGTCTGAAAAAAAGTGGAGAGATACAGAATGGTCTCTGCTCTAAGTCCAATCTTAGTTTGGGTTGACATGTTCTGGTGTTTCTCCACTGTGTTTTCATGAGTCCAATGTCAATAAGGACAATTTTCAAGCACTTAATGCTCCCTTCTGTTGACAAGCTTTATGGAGAGGCTGATTTCATTTACCAGTAGCACTTGACTCCTTCCCACGCTGCTAGAGGTTCCAAAAGCAGATTAAATCAACATGGTGTGACTGGACCTGATTGGCCAGCAAACAGGCCGGAAATGAATCCAATAAAGAATCTATAAGGTATTTTAAAGATCCCAGCAGAACCACCTAGATCTGCCATTGCAATGATGCACTAATTCCTGTGAAAAAGGCCCCAACAAGTATTGGGTTCAAGAAAATGGACTCACCTTTCAGAAGCCTGATATTTTGGTGTAAAATATGCCTTGGCCCTGAATAAGTGGCAAAAAAAATCTTCAACTTCACAATGTTCTAATGTTTTAAAAGCTATTGTATATGAGTGAACTGCACTGACAATATGTTTCTATAATTTGTTCTTGCAGCCTTTTTAAGTTCCTTGAGATAGTTTTGCTGTGAAGATGTACAAAAAAAAAGAAAAGGAATGAACAGATTTTACTACAAGTGTCAGTTTGGTTCAAGGTGGGTGAGGGTTTGCCACAGGGTTACGTTCTGAGCCCCTTTTCATATTTGGAGAAGAAATAATATAGCATTCTTATCATATTCAAATAATCTGGCAAGAATGCCACATTGATAAGTCATGAATCTATTCCAAAATATATTAACAATTATTGTTATCATTTCTGAAATACGCTTATGTACTGTATATGTAATAAATTAAAATTATTTTTGTTTCATTTTATTTTAAAAAAAAAACAGCATGAAGAGCCAGAAACAGACTTGAGTGGGTGATAGTAAATGTCTTCTCACTATAACCCAAGAACAAGTAGATTTGGATTTAAAAAAGAAATATTAAACAATCACTTTGGCCCAGCCTGGCCCTGTTTCATGAAAAGTAATAAGATTTTATCTCTTAACATAAAATCTAATGAGTTATGAACATTTCTATACTCTTAATAATGTTGAGCACACCTACAGTAGTAGCTCAATAAATGATTAAAGACCTTATGTTAAGACCAATTGCTTTCATTTTCTGCTGTTCTCATGACAGTAAGGTGCACATTACAAGGACCACCCTGGAGTGTTTAAATGGAGACTATGAGGTGGAACCCGGTTTTGGCCATGAGAGGCATGCCTTCTTGCAGAAGCACCACATCGAGACTTTCTTCATCGTGCCTTCGCACCGACGTAAAGTACGTCACATTGCTTCTTTCAAGCTTTTTCCTTCCACCAACAAACAAGTGAGAAGTGCCACATCTGTCAGTGTCATATTGTAATAAATAATCCTCTGATCCAGAGGGAGAGACAGAGCATGTCCAAAGCTGTCGTACACACGAGTAGTGAAAGTATCTCACACACGCTGCACACGTTGCACATGAATAGATGTGTGAGTGCATTTATGAGTGTCATGACATTTTAAATCCTATAAAAACACACAAACGTGCAAAGACAAGTGAAAGCTTGATATGAATTGATTTATAGCCTCAGTTTGCTTTTGTTTTTATCATAAACAGCTATTTTATTTTTATGTTGTCAGGAATTTAAAACGGATTCCTTGTTTTTGAAACTAATAGAGAGAGAGACCTATACAAGGAAGACAAAACACAACTTTAGTTAGTTATTTATTTTATATATTCACAACTTTTAAAGGTATTTCATCCATCATTTCTTCATATTTTACTTTCAGACAGACAGACTTCAGATAAAAACAAAGCTATCCTGGTCTAGTAACACCACATTTCTCAACTTTCAGATTTTCCCTGGTATTATCCTGTCAGACATCAAACCAGCCAAGAGGATGAAGTTCAAGACGGTGTGCTATCTGCTGGTGCAGCTCATGCATTGTAGGAAGATGTTCAAGGCTGAGATCCCCTTCTCTAATGTCATGACCTGTGAGGACGACGACAAGGTGAGTGATTTGCTCTACAAGGGTTAGATATCTATCCATGTTTTTTACACTAAACAGTTTTCTAAAATGCTGCCATATGATTTATTATTGTGTACTTTAGTATGTTTCTATTATGGCTTATATCCATCCAACTTCTCCCGCTTATTCCACCAGTGTCACAGTAGTGCTCGTGCCTATATCCGGCAGCCTATTGGCGTGAGAACTTAATTAAAATGTTGATATTTTAATAATATAACTGAAATGCTAAAATACAATAAAATACATTTGAGATTTCACACTTTTGTGCCATGTAGAAAATCCCATTCAAAGAGTTTGTTGTTTTGCTTTTTCACTAACATTTCAATGTTCTAAATCATTTAACAATTTCTTAATATCAGGAATATGTTCAAATGAAATTGATATTTTCAAGTTAACAACATAGTTTTAGAGATAAAGTCTAACCTGGAAAAGCCTTGGTTTTGGCAGCTAAAGCTTTGGGTCTCTATCAAACCACAGTGAGCTCTATACGTATTACGTTTATTTGTTAAAGACCTTTCATATTTCAAGGAACTTCACTAGGCGATAAGTTCAAGAGCACAGGAGATGATTCAACCAGGATGTCCCCAAAGAACCAATCACAACATCTTAAGCACCCCAGATCTCACTAGCTTTACGGGTCAGTGTGTATGACTAAACAATAAGAGAAAAACCAGACAAAATGCATCCATCTGAGAGTTATGTAGAACAACAGCAATCCAGAGAAAGGCGGTAGGTACTTATGACCATAATGTGAATTAAAAATGTTTTGAATAAACTGAAGAGCTTGCACATTGCCTGGTACAGTTCCTGGTTGAGATTAGCTGAAAACACAGCAATGATCACAGCAACCAAAAGTGAGTAATTTGGGCTATCTGGGTACCAGAAGATTATTGAGTTTGTGTATACTACACACGAATAGGATGCCACCCTTTTTTGCCAGCTTCAGTCACTAAAATTGTAGGTTCATAAACAAAGCAAATGATGTCAATTGGTAATAAATAAAATAGGGCTAGCTCCCCCTCCCCCATTACAGCGCCTATTCAGAAAGGGTTTTACTTTTTACTTTGGCATTATCTCACTGAAGTAAACAGTACAGATGAATAAAACTCATTTATTGCATTGACAGATTTTAAGCCAATCCACTTAGTAATCTTTAAAACTTTAAACTGAAGCCAATATTTCAATGAGTGACAAGAAAAACGCATCCTTTTCTGTTCTATTTTAAACCTTTAAACAGTAAGATAGAATGCAATATTGTTGAAGTAACTTCAATTCAATTCAGTTTATTTATATAGCGCCAAATTCACAACACATGTCATCTCAAGGCACTTTACAGGCACTTAAACAATATATTTCGTTAGAAAATATGCCTTCATTTTTGTGGTTAAACTTTTCATACCAAAGGTATTGTTAGTCATATCATTTACTTTTTAATGCTTAATTTACAAACTGGTATAGTAATAATTCATAACTATATTTTGAGTCGATTTTAAAGCAGAATAAACTACAGTTTTATTTTAGATTAAACACTTTGACTGTTGGATTTATTTACCTTATTCTTTGCAAATAAAAATGTTTCGGGAACAATTTGGTTGGTTTTTAAAATATTTTTACCTTTTGAAAAACAAAAGAGTTTGATTAGGCACAATTCTTCCAAGTAAACTGCAACACAATATGTCCTAAATTCTAAGGTGAATTATGCTTGTGTTGGGACTGATTGCACTGTTTTTCCCTATCTGACAGCGGCGAGCTCTGCGGACTGCATCAGAGAAGCTGAAGAGCCGAACATCCTTTTCAGCCACCGCTGTGCAGCACTCCCCGGCCACAAGAGTCAACCGTTACATCGGTCGGCTTATTGAAGCACGGCAGACCGAGTCCAGGACATCGGACCTGAACCAATTTACCCTGTTTTACAGGAGTAGAGACAGGGAGCACAGGGTGAGGCCATGCACACACCTGCTGGGAAACATTTGCTTTACATTTACAGCAGAACACACGCTCATACATCAAATATGAACTTTCTCTCAATACACGTGAGGAAAACTGCTTCGTGACTGCAAGATCAGCCTCCCTCTGTCTCATTCACACACAATACGCCCCACACAGCTTATAACTTGTTTGTCTGCTTGCAAGCGAGTGTGTTTGTATGAAGAATCCACCCACCCTCTCAGGAGGGGTTGCAGATAATGATTTAGAAATGTCTGAACTGCACATGTGATATTTTTCTCGTGTGTGTGTGGGTAGTGTTATAAAGAAGACGTAGGCTGGTTTGTCTGCCCATGAAACTGGTTACAGAAAAAGATAAAAGTTCAGGTAGAGCATAATTAAAACTGAACTTAAAAAAAGAAGTTATCCTTTAGGAAATAAATTAAGCAAGCAGGCACAAATCAGTGTAATGAGTTTGTTCACTCCCACACAACTCATTTTCTTTTGCAGAGTTCACAACGTAACTCCTAGACAAATTTAGATCTAACAAAAAGTAAAGTAGCCATGTAACCAGATATTTAGAAACATTTTGCCTCATATTTGTAGAAAACACATACAGAACATTTTCATTTTTCCAAGTTTTATGGGTTTGAATTCTACTGAGAACCTGCACTTATACTGTGGCTTCTGTGCTGCTGCAGCTCACTTTCATGTGACTCCACAGAGGAATAATGGGTATTATTTATTTTTATTGTTATTCATTTAGGTAAGCTTGATTAGCATTGCTCTTTTTATGTTAATCTATTGTGGTTACCCTAGTTTATGTTTTCATTAACTGTTAGTTTAACTTTAGACCATTACACAGAAGAACAATGAGTGGGGAAGTAAGATGCTATCAAGAAATTTGGAGCTCATGCCATGTGGAGTAAAATTATTTCTGCTTTTACTTTCTTTTTGAAGTTCAAGGAAGGATAACCAATGCCCACATGGTAGTGTAAGACCTCATCATATTGATGTCAGGAGATGTATTGACTCTGTTGATAACATAAAGAGACAAACAGAAGCTTTGAAAGACCTCATTACTAATCATTCACAATGCTTGGCATTTGCTGTGGATCTGAGTTCCTGGATGGCCAAAGCTTCCCGACCAAGACTGGCCCAGCATCTAGGGATGACCCTATCATACTACTGAAAGACACCATCAGCAGTCAACACCCACTATCAAAGAACAACAACTCTAGTCTATTAGACAATACAACAGGAAGGGTCTCATCAACTGAGTTGTTGCTGCCACAAGAGGGAGCTCCCACCCAGCCAAAGGCATTCAGTGAAAAGCCCAGGCCAAGCTTCCAATGTACAATGACAAAACATCTGCTTACCAGGAACAGTTTCGGATTGGTGTGACCCTCAGTGGCTGAATTAATGTTATAGCTGCATCACACCTAGCCTTAGCATTGCAGGGGACTGCTCAATTAGACCTGACTCAGAATAGCCAGGCCCTACCTGCTTCACTCAATAAACATTCTGGTAAAAGCAGAGGGCTGTAGTGAGCAGAGGGCCCCTGATCAGCCACAACAGGTCGGAAGAAGAGAGTTTGAGATAATTTCCTGCAGATGTGCAGCTACATGTCCACAACATGGTTATTCACTATACCCTACAACTGCCAGGGATGAACTAACCCTACATGCATTTCTGAGGTGGCTCAAATCTGAGGAGTTTTAACAGCATTCTAGCCTAGCTAAACCTCATATATCAACCCTTTAACTGCCAAGTCAACCATATGGTTGATCATTTGCTCAGCAAAAAGCAGGTAGCAGGTTGACAAGACAATTAAAGGGTTAAACAATACACTCCAGGAAGCCAGGGTAGTGTCCAATTCACAGTGGAGAGCCCTTATCTCATACATCTGTTTGGTTAAAGTGCAAGGTGAGTCATGCCAAGAGGACAAACCAGGGATTGTTTGCAAGGTCCGCCCTAACCAAAAGACAACTATGCATAGGACTGTCTAGTGTCACATTTGTTCTGAACCAGGGCATGCAACATGGAACTGTCTGGCACTAACTCTTAAGACAAGGAAGCATCAGCTGCAAGGAAGCACCTAGTGGTGTAGAGAGGGGAAAACCACTCTAAACCCTTATATACCTTATGATCACCTTGAACACATCAGGTTGACCAGCTGGTTCAGTTCCCTTTGACTCGCACTGTGGATACTAGCTAATAGAGCTGATGCTAAATCATAGACTGCCCTTACCTTGTGGCAGATATGGGCTGTGGGGGTTCCATGTCTGTTCATCTCCCTCTGCAATGCCATGGGCACCTTAAAGCATTTTATAAATTTTTTTTTTCCAAAATTCATGGCATGGCTTATGGCGTAACACTGGTTAAGGCAATGGTTTAACTGACCAAGCTGTAGGAGGGAAGATGTGGGACTGTAAGTTTCCTGCTGTGACTCTTGCAATGCCCAAAAAGAGGCCAAACAGCATTCTGATTTGCAGATGCAACAGTACTTTGTGGTGCACCAATTGAGTGAGTGGGGGTACACATCCTTCGTCAATTGCCTGTAGAAGACTCTTTGAATTACTTTGACAAAGTGGTAATATATTATTTTACAAAACGACTAGAGGCATATTGCAGTGCTGAACCAAAGTACTGTAACTCCACCACTGTTGAAAAACTGGTTCAAGACATTTCCACCCGCTTCGGAGTTCTGAACTTCAAAGTAACTACAGTAGAAATGCAAATTCGAGTCCCAAGTCTACACGTACAGATTGACGGTCAGATAAAAAGGTTTAATCACACTCTGACTACACAATTGGTGATCCTTGTCGACCAACATCTGCAGGACTGGGGTTGCCACCTCCCACTGGAACTGTAGGCCTACCAGACCTCCAATCAAGTAAATCAGTCTACAGATGTTGCCCTGATATTTTGCCAATTATTGTGCACCCCACCCCTGGTGCCTCACCAGAGCCTGAGGTTGCTGGGAGGAGGGCAACAGTTTTCTTTCAGAGCAAGATTTTACTTTCAGAGACTTGTGAAGTTCAGGCCGGTGCAGGGATGAGGCAGAAGAGAGCTTATGATAGCTGGTGCTGAGGATGGGCTTTTAAACCAGGAGAAAACAATCTGGATCTATCGACTAATGTGTAAGCAGGAAGTCTGAAATAAATTTTGCAATAAGTGGCAGCAAGCAGAAAAGTTGGTAGTGCGCCCATCTTAGGTGTTATACCAACTAAGGTTATATGCATAAACTCTTGTTTATGTGTTCATTATCAGTTAAATTTGTTTTAGGTAGTTGCTATGAAGGATATGTGGTTCTTATTTGGGGCTATAATATATAATAATATATACCTACTGTACATATAGACCTAAGATCTAAATGTATTTATTGTAGCTTGAAAAGGTGGCTCTTATCCCTCCTACAAGTTTGGCCATGGAGATCACTTGGTGGGTGTTAATGGTCGTTAGGGGTTCTGATGGGTTGTTAACTCCTTGTCAGAGCTTATTCTATTTCCCCTAAATCTTTGTTACACCTACAGCATATTAATCTCAGTGCCCCCCACCTATTGGATGAGAGGTGAAACCTCTTCTAGAAAACTTCACGTCCAGTTGCCTTAACTGAACTTATCAAGCTTGACAATGACCTGGATGACTGAGAATCTTCACAGATATGTTTTTTTTAATATGTAATTCAGATGTTCCTTTCAATCTTGTAGCTTTTTAGTAAAAGCTTATTTGAATAACTGGCAAGGTGGTAGAGCTGACCACTCAGAGCTGTCAGGCCCTTGTAGAGAAGCCAGCCATCATATTCAATTGCTGTTGTTAGAAGTATGTAATGAGTTAATAAATTGTGGTTCTTTTAACTAAGGTTGTGTGAAGTACCTATAAAAAGTCAATAACAGTATGAGGGTTCCTTCTAATTTAAGAGGGCAGCAAGATGTCATAAACTAGCTTATGTCAAAGTTAAGGCCAGGTTTATGTTCTCATATGCATATTTGTAGAGTGAACCGTGTGTGATATCGTATGCCTTGCAAAAGTATCTTTTAAAAGTCATTCCCAAACAGTTTAAAAAGTTTAAAAAACTTTTTAACTTTTTTTACTTTTAGGAATGACTTTGACCTAGATGACTGAGAATCTTCACCAGTACACATTTTAAAAGTGAAATTCACATTTTGCTGTGGTATAAAACTAAAACATTAAGTATTATATTTATGAGGATGTCATGTGATAGACCGTCACAATTAGTAGAACAAAATAAGTGACCCTTTTGAACGTAATCGGAATTTAAAGGTATATATTTGTATTTCTCCACCTCAGTTTTGTAGAACCATCTTTTTGCTTAAGTTGCTGTAGCTTAGAAAAAATGGAGCACATCTGTAATCATACTTTTTGCTGTGCCACTTCAGTGCATGCTTTGCTGTAAATGTAACTGTAGCTCTATGTTTAGGGTATGTCTTCTGCTGAAAGAATAATATCTGACCTACTTATGAAGTCCTTTGCAAGCTCTGTGAGGCTTGCTCTTTTTTTAAGCACTATCCATCTTCAGTTATTTTATATTGTTAAGTTTTTTATCTGACCAACTTCTCCAGAATGTTTGTTATTTTCTACGTAAAAGTAGACAATGGGGCTTATGTTTTTCTTCTTGCAGCTACAGTGCCATGCACTAAACAATACCTGTTTAGTGCATGGCAATGGTTGTTCTGACAACAGAATCTCCAACATTAAGCTACTCTTTACTTCCCCTCGGCTGATTCTTTAATTAATTTTTCTGCTTACTGGAGGTGTCAACTCAAATGAATAGCTTTGTCTTAGGTAGCAGTTGCACCAACTCTTTCCTTTTTCAAAGATTGGTTTAACAGTGATCTCTGATATGTTTTAAGCTTGAGATATAATTTCTGTTAAATAAACTAGCTTGCTTTGAACATCTCTAAAACATTGTCCCTGACCTGTTTGATGTCTTACTTGTTCTTCATGATGCCATTTGGCGCCTGTAGGTGCACACTTTTAATACCTAAGCAATAAAAGTGATGTTCCTTAATATTGTAAAAGATTAGGTTAACAGGTTTTTTAAGACATTGAAAGGGGAACCTTTCCTCAACTTTCCTTTGAGTGTCATGTTAATGCCTTAACTGTGATTCGATCTATTGGTCTGACACATTTCCATTTTTTACAGCAAGTTGCTTTTGTTGTTGTTGTTATTTTTACTTTATGTTATTTTTTGTGACTCTAGTAATGTTGATTTCGCCCCTGTGTATATTTTGGGGTTTGAAGCATTCCTTTTTTTCAGTATGGCTCTGTTACATTTATTTATTTTATTTATGTGTTTTGGAGATTGCATCATTATATTTTCCGTGATTGTAGCATTTTTTTTTTTTTGTTGCAGTGTTTGTCTGTTGAACTTGTCTTGTGTCAGAGTTGTCAGCTCTTCATGATGAGTTCAACCCTTTGCTGTGCCTTTGCATTTGTAGGCTACTGTAGTGACGCTATACACTGAAACACTGAGGCATCACAAAATAACCTGGTTTATACAGAGAATACATTTCCCACATGTGGAGTCAGATGTGGGAAATGTGCAGTCGCATGACTTTTGAAGGTAATTGGTAATTCAGGATATAAGAGAAAAGGAGGCTGAAATAAAGCAGACTACACTTTTTAAATTTTTTGTTTCAAACCATTTAAGTACTGTACATAATTTTTCTTTCACTTTTCCACAGGTATACATTGCCTAGTCTTGTTCTATCACATAAAAATGATACAGTTTTAGGTGAATGTGAAAAAGACAAAAGTTAAACAGATGTGGATATTTTGGAAGATCTATACAAAGTAAATGAATTACAAAATATCCAAAATTCTCACACTGGCTTGTGATGAGGTACTGTCTAAAGGCTTGTGTCTTTCAGGCAAATCTTCACTCTCTACCTCCTTGATTAAAATATATTTTTTATGCAGAGGAAGCAGCATTACTGAGAAACATTCTGTGCTTGAAAATACCTAAAACAAAGCTGTTACAGTATAAACAATTTATCAGATTCCTCAAATTTAAAATTTGGCAATTCAATTGGAAAAATTACAAAATTTATCTGGGGAGGGATTATTAGCCTAATCCTTAAAAGGCAAACTGAATGTGTTAAAACTGCAGAGTTATTTTACATAAGATAATCCCACATATTAATGTGGACACTGTAGTAAGCATTGAGATACACCTAAAGATACTTTGTAAGAAAGTCTAAAGCTGCCAAATGATAACAGACTTTCTATTGCTGCAGTCAGAAAATGGTTAAATAATGTATACAGGGTTCTTGATTTAATGGAGATTCAGTTTGTCACCCTTTGTTAATATATACTGTACAGTTCCACTTTGAATTATTTGATGTATCAGTTTTGCAGTGTAATTGCAAGAAAATAAAAGATACCATAACATATGTGTGCCTTATAATGACTACCCCTGGCTAATTCAGAAAGCCCTAGTTACTATGGATGAAAGGTGAAACCAGCATTTATTGCCATACATTTGGTCATGATAAAATATAAAATCTAAGACACATACTTAGTAATTACCTACACTCACCATGCACTTTATTAGGTACACCTTGCCTTCAGAACTTCTTCAATCCTTCTAGGAATAGATTTAACAATGTACTGGAAACATTCCTCAGAGAGGTTGGTCCATATTGACATGCTAGCATCACACAACTCTGCAATAAGGAGTTGTTAGGGTTGTTATTGACCTGGCTTGCAGGAGCAATGCTTTGACCACCTGTTTCAGTTCAATTTGCATGTTTTCTAAGCCATAACAAGACTTTTGTTAGGCTACTCTACAAAGCCTGGAGCTCCACTCTAATCCAGACATTCTAAATTGAAAAAGCCTTCTGGATGGGAAGCAAAAGGTCTTCAAACTTGGACAAAAAAAATTCCAGTGGATTTGTTTTAACTTTATTTTGAATGGCTTTGATCTGGATGACTGAGAATCTTCACCAGCATGTTCAAACCGAGCATTCTGATGCTCTGCAGCAGATCACTTTCACCATGTCTACTTGCCTAAATTAATTGAGGTGTTGCCATGTGATTGGCCTATTAGAAATGTGTGTTAACGAGCAGTTGGACAAGTGTCCCAAATAAAGTGGCCAGTGAGTGTACTGTGGTACTTTGTAACTTTTTTCAGTGTTTATATTTACAATAACCGGGCAAGAAATACTAAACTCAGTAAATCTAAAAGATAAAATCTTGAACAACGTTTCACCTGGCAACCAAATCGGTGTAAAGAACCGACAGAAGCACGTGTTGACGGATAGATTTATGCTCCAAACTTCTTACAGTGTTTTATGTTCTCCCTTAGTATCACCAGGTTTATGATGACCATTTCATCAGTGCGGTGGTTCTCTCTCTGATCCTGGGTGCTCTGTTCGGCCTTATCTATCTACTAATGATCCCACAGTAGGAACACCAGCACACTCACTCATACATGTTCTGTATTAATCCTTGGAAAAAGCTTCAGAATTTTTTTGATTTTTATGTTGTTGTTTTTTTCATAGGGGGAGGTTGGTGTTGCTACTGTTGGTGCTGTGTGTGTGTTTCCATGTCGCCTGTGTGATGTACCTGCATCTCACCAAAATTCAGGTAGGACTTCCTCCTTCACTTCAGCCTTTTCTTCTGAAAGGATCTCTTTTGTCTACCTTTTATTAAACTTTTGTGAACCAACAAAATTATTCTGCCAATAGCAATCTACCCTAGAGCATTAAGAGGCCAATAGGTTTTAACAGAGACAGACTTTCTTTTCTATTACTGCGTGCTTTAGAAAAACACCCTGTACAGCTTTGGCTTTTTAAAATCACTTTCAGCCAATTTTACCTCATTTGTCCTTATGAAAATATGCATTGTTTTTTTTTAATACCTTTGTGCAGTTTTGAGTCCACCTCACTATCTGTTTTTGAGAAATGTCCATTTTTGCAATTCTTTGTACTTTAAACTATCTGTCCACACATTTTTGAATACATTATTGATATTGCTTATGATCTATGCTTAATACCGATGGCATCTTTTCTGTATTGACTATTTATATTAAATGTTCTATTGATTTTCCCAGTTTTCAAAATCACAATATGTTCAATTTCTACCTAATCATTTGGGAACTTCTCATTTTGTAATAGTTAATTTTTTTATTTTGTTCATCTGATTATTCTAAAACATTTACTCAGATTTCTGACATTATACAATACTTTTATTTTATTTTCTTGTTTTCTCATTATTGACTTTGTACTATTATTATAAGACATTCATTTAGATTTCTATTGATTTCTGGTATTGATGATGAACCTATTTAATGCATTTATTTTAAAGTTGTATACTCTATGTAAATGAAATATTTTTTAGCGCTGCTTTTAAACATCAGCCTCTCAGCCCATCAGTTCTTTTCTGTGGTTCTAGTGCCAACCAGGATGTCTGACCATCCAGATTCGAACAGTCCTCTGCATCTTCTTGGTTATGCTCACCTACTCTGTTACACAGGCCTGTGTGGTAAGTCTTTGTTTGACACCACTAACCCATATATTTGTAACTATTAGCACTCCTTTCGTCTTTAATGCAGTAACATAATCTCTCATTGAATTTATCGATACATCCAACAGCTATAAGCTGCTATAAAGTAAATGATGATTAGAGAACACAACAGGACCTGTGAAAAAGTTTCATATTTTTTACTCTAATTTTAGAAAATCAAATACATATATTGCATTTACAGAGTGAAATAAGTCAAGCCTCTAATTTTGATGATTGTGGCAGATAATGAAAACCTACAATACAAAAAAATAAATGAAATTAAATTTCCTAAAAAAAAAAGGTTTCATGAGCTTTAAATGATCTCTTAGTCTGGGTCCATAAGGTGCACTGTCATTCGGGTAATACTGCTGACTTGACAGTTGTCCAGAAGAAACCCTCAAGAGAATAAGCTATAGAAATCCATTCCTAAATAAGTTGGTTGTTCACAAAGTGCTGTGTCCAAGCATATTCATAGAAAGCAGAGGGGAAGGAAAAATTAAAAAACACAAAGCCATGAGAGGATTGTTAAACTCAATCCATAGGATTTCCTGATCCTACGAGAACTCACTGCCAGTCAATTTGATGGTGACATTTTTCCCAATGGAATGCAAGAGTAATGATGATGGCATCGACTGATTGATCCCCCCTGCAGTTTTTTTTTTATTTCCCACACACCACCTTTTCAAACATAATATGAGACGTTTTTTGTGCAGCGCTGACGCACCAGGCACTGTTTACTTTGCCTCGACAAAGCTGCCTTTTCTGCAGTGGAGGGTTTGGTAACTTGCGGCTCTCTGGAGCACATGTGGTTGGCAAGCAACTGTTTTACCAGTCCAGGGAAAAAAAATCTCTGCCTTGGGAGTGAACTGTAGCTGGTGTCAGTGCATCAAAAGTCACTATGCTCAAACAAATAAACACAAGTTTTAAAATGTGGCATTCAAGCGACTCCTAAACCAGACACAATGTCAGGACCCTTATACCTGCTAAGGACACAAATGAAAGTGTAGCTCAGTGGTACAATGTTTTTTTTGTGTGTTTTTTTTTTTTTTTTTGATGAAAGTAGAGTTTGATTTAATTTATAAAATCAAGTTTCACAGCAGAGTCAGAGAAGTTCAGAGAGGCATGAAATCCACATTGCATGAATTCCCCTCTGTTAGTAATGATTTGGGATGCTACATCTCAGACGTGATGCTGGTCAACTGTTTGGATCTCTCTCTATGTTAGAAGTCAACAACAGTATTTTCCAGGGAACCAATGAGAACTTCCTCTTTCTGTCTACTGACAAGATTTATAGAGATGCTCATTTCATTTTCCAGTAAAGCTTTGGATTTGCCTAAGGTACCAAAAACAAGATTGGCCAGCAAACTGGCCTGACTTCAACCAAAAAGAGGATGTAATGGTAATATCAAAAAGAAAATGACAGACAATTTAACAAAACAGAGAGTCTTACCTGAGGAGTGTTATTAAAGCAATCTGTTTTTCCCCCCATCTCAGCAGAACCAGAGGCTGATTGCCACCATGTCACATCACTTTGATCCAGTAATTCATGCAAAAGGTCTTTTAGCACAATCCTTCCAATAAAGATGTACGTGGCTCTTGGTTCAGAAGCATCTTACTGTAGTTCCACTCACTTCAGCGCTGTCAAATGTTTTTTAAAGTGACCATGCAATCCAAAAAACTTTATTTCCTCTCGATCAAGGAGCTTTATTTTCCAAAAAACAAACTTAGAATTTCTTACCGCAGTATGACGTGACAGGCAGATCATATCGGCTCATTTCATTCCCTTTTATGCTACTCAGAAACCCCCCCCCCCCCAAAAAAAAAAATCAATAGCAGTCAAAAACTGTATGGCTGCATGTCTGAATCCAAGAGCTCACCCCAATAGCCTACTCTAATACAGTATATTTCAGGTGCTATAGTCACCTGTCCATAATGAAGGGATGGAGGCGAGAAACAGCGTAAATTATGCACAGCAGCAAAAATACAACTAAAGTAATTCATTTTTTCATAATTCATAAGTCAACTCATACTTCAAACCAAAATATTTCATGTTCATATGTGTCATACCAAATCAGACAAACATAGTAAAATAGAAATAATAAATATTTAATCATAAATCAAGCATTTGGCTCCAACAAGGCCCAACAAAAAAAAAAAAAACAACAACAACAAAAAACAGCTGTTCATGCACTTTATTTGGAAATTTCATGATCTGTAAGCCACAATCATCGAAATATAAAGAATTAGATTCTTTAATTTTTTTCCTCTGTGTTTAATGAATTTAGTTTCACTTTCTAAAATGTGTAAAAATATATTGAACTTTCCCTCTATAATCTATTCTTATAGACATCCCTATAACTACTGCCTCACTTTGTTTAGTTGTGATCCTGGGAACATTGTGCAACCAGGTCTATGACGACCTGAGGGGTCAACCTGGTTTGTACGTGAAAAAAATTCTTTACAATTCAAATATGTGTACCTTACTCGCCTGCTCTAGGATTTCAACTGAAACCCTATGCTTTGGTTAAATTATATTAAGATAAAGATCTTTTTTTTAAACAAGTAAATCACAACAAGACTTGCCTAGAACAAAACATGTATTTGCTAAAAATTGATCCCATGATCGCTTTACTGGAGTTCAGTGTGAATACAATACAATTAAATTTCATATAAATTTCTATTGGATTTGAAACATGGTTAAAAATATTGCTTTGAGCAGGAAAGAGAAACCAGATCAACACAGAAATGGCTCAAGGCCCCAACAGTCTGCAGTAATAATTCTATTAAAAAATAATGTGCTTACAGAAGGTAGAAAAGTGCATTGATAATAACCTCTATATCCAGGAGAATAAATCATTTTTAATATGTCATAACACATAAACTTAACAAAAAAATTAAGAGGATGTACTTTCCCCCCATTACATTTAGCTTTGTTAGCTCCTTCCTTGTTCAGATGCAGGGATTTGCTTCTTGTTGCTGTAGAAAAGACTCTTTTTATTTTTTATTTTTTTTTATTGCTGCATTAAAATTTTCATTTGTTGAAAATGTTACTTTAATACGACTGATAAGTGAAATAGTGGGTACTCCTGCTGCCTTGCAGCAAGAAGGTTCCGGGTTCGATTCCCGGCCCGGGGTCTTTCTGCATGTGGTTTACATGTTCTCCCTGTGCATGCGTGGGTTCTCTCCTGATACAACATGACTGCTACTGTAGGTTAATTGGCTTCTCTAAATTCTCCTTAGGTGTGTGTGAATGGTTGTTTGTCCTGTGTTGCCCTGTAATTGACTGGTGATCTGTCCAGGATGAACCCCCCCTCTCGCCCTTAGACAGCTGGAGATAGGCACGAGCACACCTCGCGACCCCGTTTGGGATAAGCGTGACGGAAAATTGATGGATATTACTTAAATTAAGTTAGAATATTAATCTTGAATGATATGGTTTTCTGTTTTATTTTATATCTTATTATTTTACTAATTGGACTGTCTTGATATAGTGAAGAGTGAAGAGCATGAATAAAGTATTTACTATTGTTCAGTTTGAGGAGGGGGAATAAAGATCTATAATCTCTGGGGTAGAACAAAAATATGTCTTTAGCTTCTAATATTAGCCCTCATAGATGTTTAAGAACCTGAACCCCAAGACACCAATAGGAAAGGGTGTTATATTGCAGTCAAATAGCCACTTACTTGTAATCCATTCCATAATCCATAATGGTAATCCATTAATTCTTACATCATCATGATTATATCATGAAACGCATATTTTTTGGACTGCTAATAGTAATCTGTACTTCATACTGCATGATTTGTAAGTGGGAGATCAGTGATGACCACATGTGACTTCTTGCAGGCGGGTTGTGTGCCTTGGGGTAAAATTGAGAGGAACTCTAGCCGTTTTGTGGAAGACATCCCTGCCAATGCCCTCGGCGTTGGACGTTCCAACAGCTCCACAGTGGACAGGATGGTTCCCAGCATGGCTTATGCCCTGCTGTCCTGTGTGGCGGGGACCCTAACTGTAGTCCCTTACCTCCGTGTTTCATCTCTCCCTAAGATTTTGCTGCTCTTCATCGTCTCTGTTACCTACACGGCGGTTATGGAAAGCAGTGGCTACCGACAGGCGGTGGGGTGAGACACCCTTACTTCAGTTTGGTGCTGGATTACAAATTAAGATTTCATCCCTGTTGTCAAAACTGTATATTTGGTGGTGCTTAAGGATTATAACACCACCAGAAGTTGATTTGATAGCTAAAACATAAATTAAAGAATTTGAACTTTAACTTTGGTGGACCCGAATACCTCATTCTTGGCAGCACCAAATTAAATCCCTAAATTAGACCTTTTTTCTATTATTATTATTAGATAATAGAGATTATTTTCTTTTCTGTGTTTAAATCATGGTCCAGTGGCGGCTTTCTTCACACAAGGGGCTACGATCCAGTGTTGGCTGTCCTGCTGTTTTCTGGAGCTCTGGCTCTTCATTCCAGGCAGTTGGATTTGAAGCTGCGGCTTGACTATCTTTGGGCAACACAGGTGAGAATACATCCAACATAAAGAACTCTAACTGCTCCTGGGTCCTGACCTTTACTAAGAACAAGCTTTTTCTGATATTATTTGAAGCATTTTTTTTTTTGTATTTCTTTGCAAAAAAAAAAAGTCTGTTCTTAGCATTCGACTGTACTGCTTATACGAATAGAAACATTTTCAAAAGTGTTTGTGAACTTTTGTTTAATTACACTAAAGAAACTAGATAAATGCAGACTTTTACATCTTTCTGAAGATGACTGAAGAACTTTCAAAAATGATAAGATCTACTGCATAAAACATACATGATAAATATCTATGCTTCAACAGTTTGAGCAGCATTTCAATGTTTCCCTTATCAGTTCATTTACACGAGCCCAGAGATGCTAGTCCCTATTTAGGCTGCACCACATTGAATCCGTAAAAAAATAAAAAAATATTTTGTTGTAGAGTAGTAGATTTATAAAGTTTGTAATTTTAAATATTACATGGGGCACTGGTCAAAAACGTTACCTTAACATACAAACCTTGCCAGAAATATCTAATGATGTAGGAGTTCAGTAAAAGGTCCGGATGCTATATGTTTCTGTTGTACCTTTGACATATTATAAATGCAGTAGTTGCTGAAATATAGTAAATTTTTAACATTTATAACTGTTAAAAACGTTATTGAGCCATTTTGTTAATGTTGGATTTAAAGTTTGGTTGTTTATTTACCAAACATAAAGAGGAAGTGAAGATACAGCAAATGGATATCATATCAGTTCACTCTTTATAACCTCTGTACTTTTATTTTCTTGGCACTAAGTATTAGACATTTGTTAAATACAAGTTAATATTACAATTAATTATATTTCAAATTTGTTTTTCCAAAGCTCCAGTTTCTTGTAATCCAGGCTGATGGTGTTTTAAGAAAAACTTAATCTCTCTTGTTTGCTAATCATTATCTCCCTCTAGTGATATTGGCTGGCTATTACATCTCCATTCCAATGTCCTCTGTTTATTGGAATTCTAGGCAGAAGAGGAGAGAGATGATATGGAGAAGGTAAAGCTGGACAATAAAAGAATCCTGTTCAACCTGCTTCCAGCTCATGTGGCTCAGCACTTCCTGATGTCAAACCCAAGAAACATGGTGAGACATGTGCATTGATGTATTTAGTTGAAAGCAGACTGTAAGAAGAAAGACAGACCCATCAAAAATGCTGACCTGTGTAAATAATTGAAATAATTTGATAAATGCAGAAGTATCAGGTTTACAAGATAATCGAGAACTGAATCTACACCCTCTGATGACTTTTAAAAAAATGCTTCATTTATAATTTGCTAATAACTCTTGGGCTGTAATTTCAGAAACAAAAGGGGCTATGAGAGTAGTTCAAACAAATTAAAGCTATAGACTGTTGTCCAACAGCTGCTCACTAATATTTATTTTACAATAAGTGAGCAACAAAAGTAATTAACCTTATTACCTTCCATTTATATTGTTCTGATATACAGGGCCATGTTTAAAGATGTTACAGGGCTTTATAAATTGTGTGCAACAGTCACCAGAGCTCAGTTTTTTGTCTAAGCTGTGTTTAAAATTCCATATTTTTATTTTAAACCTTTCTGCTGCAACGAATATGTGGTTTATGTTGAACCCGTAAACACATCCACCCATTTATTGCCCATTTCACTGATAATTCCTGCTGAAATGATGTAAGCACCTTCATTGCCCCACCCCCACATGTTTTTGGTTTTTACTAAGTCATTATATTGAAAACAGGACTACTTCTAAAATTGAGCTCAGTTATTTTCCAAACCCATGATTAAGTGTGTCTGAAAACTCTGAATACCTAACATACCTGTCACTTATTTGTCATGTCCTCCTCAGAAATAATACCAAAAGAAAATCTGTGTGGTATTTCCTAACATTTGCTGAAAGTGCAGAGCTTTGTATCATTAAGAAAAACAGCTGTTTATCAATGAGTAAAAACTGTCCAAAAGCAGAAAAAGCAGGAACAATTAACAGTTCAGCAAAATATTTATTGTATTCTGATTTTAAAAAGAGCTAATTGAAGCTTTACAGATTTTATAAATAAAAAATCAAATCACAGTTAGATACAACTTAAGGCCAGCAGTTGTAAGTGTAAAAAATCCTAGAATAACTGAAGATAAAGATTTTTTTTTTTTTTTACACAGCACAACTAAATAGCAATACAATTGCACTGGGACTATTTAGGATAGGCTGGAAAATTTTATTCTGACGTAAAGGCACCTTTCCTAAACAGCTTGTTGAAGAACACTCTTGCATTTTGTATAGGAAATTTTCCAACAAAAAAAAAGAAACAACAGCAGTTTTATCCTTTCACAATCAGCAGGGCAATGCATCAGACAGTGTGGATCAGCCAGGATGTTTGTTTCCAGCACAAAATTGACCCCCACAGAGTTGCAGTGTTCAGAAAGACTTCATCTGTTTCCTCTGGGCTAAAGTTCAGCATAGACTGCATTCAATGCACAGCAATGTGGGTTTGGAGTTTCACTCCTCTCACAGTGTGGTTTAAGAAAACATTTTCACTGGCTTGGGAAGCTTCTTTTATCCTGACATATAGGCACAATTTGGTGTTTTGCTCCATTTTCTAATTATTTCATATAAGTTCATTCGCAACTGAAATAATGTTTATTGAGATAATAAAAGTACCAGGCATGAATGCAGGAGATTTGGAAAAGACTTTGGAGCTCTGCTCCTTTTCACCTTGACTGATCTCTAAACATATGATCATAACTCAAAACTCTGCATATTTGTTATCTTTAGTTTCCATGCAGTATTTGTCATGAGTGTTTTAAAAAGAAAGAAAAAAAAAACAACAACAAAAATAACACATGTGACAAGATTCCTGATGATGCTGAAGGAAAAGTGCAACATTATGCTCCTCTTAATGCCCTTCCTAAGAATTGGAAGAGTTGGGTGAATAGTGCCTTTACACAATCTTTACTTTACACAAGTAAAACAGAACAGAACAACTTCTTAAATATATATTTTTTTTCCTAAACACCCATGAAATATTTTCATTGTGTGATAATATAAATTCTCTTTCTAATATTATATTTGTTTTGTCCAGTTTTGCAGTAAGTACGTTGTTGATTTAAGAGCAGCTTGGGCTAGTTCTGCTTGACTCATTCAGTCTTTGCTTTAATGAAATATCTAGTTGTTGTTATCTTTTCTGTCTTTAAAAGTCCACCTTTCAATAAAAAAACTCATGGTAGTTTTCTGTGAAGGCTAGTTGCTTAGCAGTAAAACTGCAGAGAACTGTGCTTGGTCCCCTCCCAGATTTTGTTTCTTATTTTAACCCTAACAATTTTGCGTGGGGATTTTCCAAAAGGTTAATCATTTTAGCAAGAACAATTTTTTCTAAGTATCTCCAAATAATAAGCCATTTTAGGGTGTAAAGGACATTTAAATAAACACTATTGTTTTATCTTTTCACTTATGCCCCTAATAAGCAATAATAAGCATCCAACAAGGACAGTTAAAAACCTGAGTTAAGTCTTGCATGGCAACAGGTGATCTTATTAAGAATATAGTCAGACTGAATGAGTTGTACGAGACAAGAGCAACTGAAAAAGACAGTTAATGAAAATCATTAGAGTTAATCAAGACTCAACACCAAAAGGATAAAAAAGTTGTTTTTATGTTTTTTTTTTTTACTCCTTTTAGGACCTTTATTATCAGTCCTATGCTCAAGTTGGTGTTCTGTTTGCCTCCATCGCCAACTTCAATGACTTCTACATCGAGCTGGATGGGAACAACATGGGAGTCGAGTGCCTGAGGCTGCTCAATGAGATCATTGCGGACTTCGATGAGGTGGTTTAAACCGTTCATTTAATTTCACCATCTATCTATAAATCATCTGTTTTTTAGATGGTTTGTTCCACACTGCCGATCTTAGGTCTACAAGCTCCTGCTGAGTGCAGGGTGATACACAGAGCGTCATCTTTTAAAAATGAGATTGTGGCCCAGAGTTGGGTTTATAGAAATACCATGTTTACTGATGTAATATACCAAACTTTGGTTATGGTTGGGAAAGTTCTTCAATGTAACAAATTACTTACAGATGATCTCTGGCCTCTTTGGATCTGTGATCAGCAGCACCAAGCATGCCTTTACTCAAACATTTTTCTATCAAGCTGCAATACAGATTTACTGAGGATTTGCCTGTTTTGAAATCTTATTTGAGAACTCTTTTTTTTTTTTACCATCTTGAAATGTTTGTTTTTCTTTTGCAGCTCATGGATAAAGAGTGCTACAGGGATATTGAGAAAATCAAGACCATTGGTAGCACATATATGGCTGCAGTGGGGCTGGTCCCTACAACTGCTTCTAAGGTACTCATAGTGTTTGTTTTGCATCTATCTATCTATCTATCTATCTATCTATCTATCTATCTATCTATCTATCTATCTATCTATCTATCTATCTATCTATCT